TGCAGGACTCTTCTCCAGCACCATAGTTCAAAGGCCTCAATTCTTTTGCGCTCAGCCATTCTTATGGTCCAGCTTTCACAGCCATACATTGCAACTGGGAAAACCATGGCCTTGACTATACGTACTTTTGTTGGCAGGGTGATGTCTCTGCTTTTTAGTATGATGTCTAGATTTGCCATAGCTTTCCTCCCCCAGGAGCAAGCATCTTTTAATTTCTTGGCTGCAGTCCCCATCTGCAAGGAAGATAAAATCTGTCACTACCTCCATTTCTTCCCCATCTATTTGCCAGGGATTGAGAGGGACAGATGCCATGATCTTGGTTTTCTTAATGTTGAGTTTCAAGCCAACTTTTGCACTCTCCTTCTTCACCCGCATCAAGAGGCTCTTTAGTTCCTCTTCACTTTCTGCCATTAGAGTGGTATCATCTGCATATCTTAGCTTGTTGATATTTCTCCCAGCAATCTTAATTCCAACTTTTGATTCATCTAGCTCTGCCTTTCTCATGATGTGCTCTGCATATAAGTTAAATAGGCAGGGCGACAGAATACAGTCTTGCCGAACTCCTTTTCCAATCCTGTGGCCACTGTTGAGTTTTCCAAATTTGCTGGCAAATTGAGTGTTGCACTTTTACTGCATCATCTTTTAAGATTTTGAATAGCTCAGCTAGAATACTGTCACCTCCACTAGCTTTGTTGTTGCTCAGCTTTCCTAAGGCCCATTTCACTTCACATTCTAGGATGTCTGGCTCAAGGTGAGTGACCACCCCATCGTGATTATCAGGGACGCTAAGCTCGTTCTTGTATAGTTCTTCTGTGTAATTTTGCCACCTCTTCTTAATCTCTTCTGCCTCTGTTAGATCCCTGCCATTTTGGTCCTTTATCATGCCCATCTTTGCATGAAACGTTCCTTCGTACTAATATAAATATTCTCCTTTATGGTTTAGAAAAAAATGGTTATAGCCAATCCAAGGTACTTGCTGTCCTGACCAGCGGTAATTTTATGTCTTTACATGTTTTTTGAAGCAAGCTGCATAAAAATCGTGTGTGCTTAGAAACATGAAGAAATAGTAGATGATGAGAAACCTGTTACTGTGAAAGCTCCAGGGGAAGGAGTTGTCTTGTAATAGTATTATAATGCTACTATGGTTGATGTAGGTGTGAGAACTTAACTAAGTTGCTTGATCTGGCCAGAGACTGTCCTGTTTTTAACAACATAATCTTGGAAGCAAGATAGAAAGGTAATACCAATTATTTACAGTTTATTATAATTTCAATAAGCTCATGAAACATAAACTTACAATATTCAAATAGTAATTGATTGACAGATTCTATAAAGGCACAGAAATGGCTATGCATATTAGACAAATTAAAACATTGAGGTATCAATTAAATAACTCTTAGGTACAAAGCAATAAATGTACTCAAGCTAGTTTATACATACGCTTTGCCTAAAGCAATGTTTAATTGACTATTATGCAGTAATGTTTGAGTTGAATACAGGTGGTTCTGTTAGATGAGAGTAGGTTATAATTTAACAATATATTTATTTTACTTCTGTCATCTCAGACTCCTTGAAATCTTAAGTTCTTCTCTGGTACGTAATTGCCAGTCTCCTCCTCGGCCCTTCTTCATAATTACAGAACACCAACAAAGATTTAGTTCTTCAAAGATTTGGCTTTCAAAACTAATTATATTTAAAACCTCTCACCTTTGTATTTTTTCACAACAATTTTATTTTGGGATTCTAGAGGAATAAAGTTCTTACATTTAGCAATTCTTGTTTAATTACTTGAGTGTCCTGTGGCTAAACATATTGATTACTTCTAACACACTAGAGCAGTTCTTGTTTTTCCTCTTTTTTTAGTAGGAGAGAGTTGGGGTAGATAGAAGTTTTGTGGGCATAGGATAAAGTATGACAATCACCCTCTCTTTAGAGGTTATCTGTTTATAGGTATATAAAAGTCTGGAAGAAATAGTCTTGCATCTTAGAGGCAAGAGGAATAAAGATACCTCATCTGTTGTGATATAACAACTTTAAATACTTGATGAAATTATCCTGCAAATCCAAAAATGAGATAAACAAAAGAGCCTTAATGTCAAACTTGTAGGATTTATATATTGGCAAATACTGCAGGATGGGTCCTGAAAATTAATCACTACAGTTGTTCAACACTGTGGCAGTTGACAGGGTTGACCTGAATTGCATTGTGTTTTGTGCTTTAAGTAGTAGCAGTTTGGGAGTGGGCATTTTACTGAATGTTACCAAAACAAATCGTGTCTCTGCAAACTAATTGTATTCTGGGGAAAAAAATTGAAGTAGCCATAGTGATAGAATGTGCTTTTAAAAAAATAAGAATAGACTTACAGGTAAAATGCTACCATGATTTTTACAAAAAAGTGATTGTAAGAGAAACTTGGGGTTGAAAAAAAAAAAAGGAAAAAAAGAGGAGGCCAGCCTTTCTATGTATTGGATTCCAACCCCTCCCCATGTTTTTATACCCAGATTTGTTGATGTTTTGTCATTGCGCCTTGATGTATCTCATCTCTTCCCCAGGATCCGTAGGTGAGAGGTACAGATTTTGATGTGCATAGTTTTAAAAATGTTTTTGTATAGCAAAAGTAGGTTTCTTTTATTAGATGTATTTAATTATCTATTCCTTGACCGTTATTTTAATAAATAAAAAAAATATCGATATACCAGCCAGCTCCCAGGATCGTGGGTATACTTTGGGGTGTATTTCACAATCCCAAGTAGATTTTGTGTTGAAAACCAATTGGTTTTGCTTCATGATGGCATAATTTTGTAACATTAAGCAGAAGCAGAAAAACCAGACGGAATAATTCTTTGTATTGCTTCGTTTAAATATATTTTTTAAATTAAATTCTTGAAACACTGGATTTTTTACCACGACAGGACTCAGTTTTGCTTTTCTAACTTATACAGTATCTTTTGGCCATTCCAGCTTAAGTTAGTATATTACTATTGGATTAGTCCACTACAGTAAATAGTGCTGCTAGTATTCCCACTTTTTACTATGTTGTATATTACATTCTATTTTATTAAGTCTGATAGAATATAAAGATTCTGTTTGTAAAATTTTAAAACAGTTTTTGACTGAGTTGGGGTAAGAGAGAAATACCTTTGTTGTTTATTAGGCACATCTTGACCATAGCAGAGTTAGTAACTGAAATGCCATTTCTGTAATGCAGACATCCAGCTAGTACAGGCAATATGTTGGTGAAATATTGGACTCTGTACTTTTGTGGATCAGCCATAGACACAGCATGGCAAGAGTCAAATGGAGGCCAGAACAAACGATGAGTGAAAATTGCTCATCCAGGAAAATCTTGGCAGAGCTTGCTTCATCTCGTTAATCAAGGTATCTTTCCTGGTTCCTGTTAGCAGGAATGCTGTGTAGCATTCTCCCATTTTTCACCTTTGGCCTTCTTAGTAAGGAAATTGTGTAAAGGGATGATGTATACTGCATGCTTCGTGGGAAAATCTTGCTGCTCTAATATATAAGGTAGAGTTGTCCCATCATAATCAAATTATTTTAGTGCTTTAGGGTGTGTATTGTGTTAAAGAGTTGTGTTTTTTCAGAGCCTCCTTTTGGGCATTGTATCAGTACACTGTAATTGGTACTCAGTAAGTTCTTTCTTCAGAAGCCTTTCTACTAATAGTTTAATCTTGAGGGTCTTTTTTTTGCTGTCGAAACTTTAGATATTCACCCCTGATGTGACTGTGATATCTAATTAAACCTTTTCTGTTGTTTAGAACCTCTGTCAAGTGATCAACTCAACCTTGTGTTGGGATGACAGAGTTTGAGTTCTAGTAAAAGGGGACTTTGACTTTTGCCCTGCGTTTTTGTTATATTTTTCATGCTTCTGATGTAATTTAAGCTACTCTCCCTGGAAATCAAATGTGCAAATTTGTCCATAGACTTTTATATCCACGTAGTTATTTATATATAAAGATTGTTACCCCTAAAAATATTCCTGGAGCTAAAAATTTAGAAAGCAATTGGCAGGACAGGAATGTTCCATGTATTTGGAGTTATGCTGGTCTTTGCATCTATCTTTGGGGATACGGTCTTCATTTTGTTGTGCTATCTAGAGCATGTTGAAGAATAATTGGAAAAGCACCCTGACTGATAAAGTTACTTGCTGTTTCCATTCCAGGAAAGCCCAACAGCACTGGCAACTCTGAACGGATTCAGCTCTCAGGAATGTACAATGTTAGAAAAGGGAAAATGCATTTGCCGGTCAACAGATGGACAAGACGCCAAGTTATCCTTTGCGGGACGTGCCTAATAGTATCATCGGTGAAAGAAAGCCAGACTGGAAAAATGCACGTGCTCCCCTTAATTGGTGGAAAGGCAAGTCAACAATTTCAGTATGTGTGTTTATATGTGTGTATGTGTATACATTTAGTAAAATTAAAATGAATAATACATCATCAAAATCACATATTTTAAAAATAACATAATAAGGAATAAAACAAACCAAGAAAAAAAAGGCAAGAGCAGTATTAATAAATAAAACCCATCATGTTTGGGAGTAATTATGAGCACATTTGTAATCTTAAGAATACTTAATCATCTGTATTTTTAATTTTTGCTAAAAAAAAACACAATTGTATAGAAAAAGATAACATGTCAAAAACCTCACTATTAGTATTCTCTCTCTCTCTCTCTCTCTCTCTCTCTCTCTCTCTCTCTCTCTCTCTCTCTCTCTCTCTCTCTCTCTCTGTGTGTGTGTGTGTGTGTTTGTGTATCTGTAGCTTCTAGTATGCAAAATAATTAAACCTAGAATCTGTAATAGGAAATTTAAAACCAAGAAGCCGCCTCAGGCAATGGAATTGATATAAATAACTATACAAATCTTTGTACAATAGGATATGTCCCAATGAAGTTTTCAGTTTCACTATAGCATCCTTCTTTATTTGGTCAAATGATGTGCAATTATTGCTTTTAGATGGCATACTCATTTTGTATTTATTTGTAAAGGGTTTGTTTTGCATATCATTTTTTTTTTACAAACTGTTTGCTCTTGAGGACAGTGACTGATTTTCCATTAGACTTGGAGAATAAGTTGGGAACATAGATAGATACCATTCCTCAGTCAAAAAAATCCTGATCTGGGCTTTTAATCAGTGACTATTCATAGAGACATAGGCATAATCTCAAACGCCCGCAATGTATTTCTAATGGAGCCAACTAATCCGAAAGTTTCTTGTTGTGAGACAAGAAATCATTTCAATGCTGAAAACAATTTGACACTTAGACATATATAACTCCGTTAAATCACACTCTGTTGACCTAATCCGTCTGTCAAGGCTATGAGATTCTGACATAAGCCGTAGAACATAAAGAATGTTCTGAGGGCATGGAATAATGTTGCCTTTTAAATATATCCAGCTTTATTAGCATCTAGAAGCAGAAATCCCATATCAACCATGTGGAGTTCAATGATCAACATTGTGGTTATTATTATTATCATTGAAGCCACAAGGTGACCAGAGTTCCCTGGTACTGTAAATTGTGCTCACTGTACAGTAACTAAGCGTTACAGGGATGGGAAGAGAAGTTGCCTTATAAGTCATTGGTGATTTCATTAATGCTGCCCAGTGAGTCCTTGTGATGATTACACAGCCATGTTCCTCAGTGCATTTGCTGTAGAAAGGATTTACTTGCTTGAGACACAATCGCATGTTGACCAATAATTCAATCTCTTTTTCTGTATTGGCAGGGGGACAGAGGTCGACTCCCAGGCCCCTAACTTGTGGGGTGCCTCAGGGGTCGGTCCTCTCTCCCCTATTGTTCAATATTTATGTGAAGCCGCTGGGCGAGATCATTCGGGGCTTTGGGGTGGAGTTCCATCAGTACGCTGATGACACTCAGCTGTACATCTCCACCCCGGGTCACCCCAACGATGCCCTTGACGTGATGGCCCGTTGCCTGGAGG